AAATGAGTATAGTCGATGTAATGAAAATGATAATTCCTTAATTAGATTTTTTTATAATAGAATTTTTTTTTTTTTTGTTAAATAACAATCACGTAATATATTATGCCATTAAATATGACATTATTGCTAAAGTGATATTTTTACGATTCCTTCTTTCTTTATATGTATATATATATATATATATATATATATATATATATATAATTGCAGATTATCGATAAAAATTCAAAACTCCCTTATTGCTGCTTATTTAACATTAATAAATATACAATATCTTTTGGAAACGTATAGGTACTGTTGTTGCTAGGAAATATTGCTTAACAATTAAGAGAGGAAATATTCATTATTATTGCCAAATGATATCTGAGATATATATATATATATATATATATAAAACGTATTTTCTCGATTATCAGTGTCAAAAAGTTAGTAAACAGCAATAAAGTGTTATATTTTAATAAATCAGAATATCATTGCTTCTAATAACACGATTAATCGTGATCAATAATATCACTTGATCAACAATGATTTGTTACTGCTTAACAAGATGGATTATTTATTTATTTATTTATTTTTTTTTTTTTATCACTAGTATAATTATATTTGAAATTGAAGAATAGGTTTAATTAAAGTCTTTAATTTCGTTTACGAAATTAGTCCAAGAACAAATTAGATTTTCGAACTTTAAGGCCTTAAAAATCAAAGCCTTATCAGAAAAATTTGTTCGTAAGGTTTTACAATATTATTATTTAATATTATGTTCCAATGTCAGACTCCTTTGTTTCATACTTAAAGCACATATAAACTCACAAAACCTTTGCGCTATTTTTTTTTTTTCTTCGCTCTTGTCAAGCAACATATATCAAAATTTATGATATGATATACAAACGAAATGTTTCAATCTTGTTTCAGCATAATTTGTCACTTACTATTGATATTAATTCACGGATAAAGATATTTAAGAATATCAAAAAATATTTGATTGTGATCGTGAAATTGAAAAAAATTTCTCATTTAATATGAATTTTGCACACTTCTCATTAGTCACAGCCACTTTGACATTTTTCTCAGGTAGTTTTTAAAAATCATTATTGACTAATCGTAACGGCAAGATAAATTTTTATACTTTTTTTTTTTTATTAGATCGATATGAAAACACTGGATATTAAACAAAGATAGTACTTTCACTAAATATTACTTAAACGCCGAATTAGACTCTAGTAAATTATGATATAACTTCTTATAAAAAATTGACAAAAGTTTGACTAATATTATATGGTATTAATATTAAAAATTTCTCCTATTAATTTTTTTTGACTTCCTTTCGAATTCGAAGCTGATCTTCGAGCTTTCAATTTTCATATTCACAATAATATAACAATAATTCATTAAAATGAATTACATATCGTAATAAAATTAATAAATCAGATTTAAATAATATTAAAATTATCAACACCGAACTTTCCCTTTCTTGTCAAACTTTTATCCTTGCAAAATACTAACTCTAAAATATTAATTCCAAAATTTTTGTGGCTATTGACTAGCTGCCAAAAAATTCATTACTAATCAAAGACAGGAACATCCGGGAAATTCTTTATATCCAAGAGCTATTGAGAAAGAAATTTTTAAATGCATATATATTCAAAATCACGCATATCCACTCTCATTCATTTTTATAATTCTTCAATTCTTATTAATTTGGATATCTAAGATCTATTTTACATAGATCAAGTGCATAGTATGAGAGCCTTACAAATTAAAAATTATGAGTCATCATAAATGTGAGAAACTAGACAAAGAGTTGCCAAATTATGCATTCTAATATAATTTGATCGATACATACTAATAACGTTTTTTTTTTTAATTAAAAATTTGTTTAAATGCAGTAGCAACTTGTTGACAAGATGATTCTAGCGCATATTGCCACTCCACTCATACCACTAACACTAGTTCATATTCAAGTCATTATTCTTTTTTTTTTTTTTTTTTCTTTATTACTTACTAGATTTTAAACGCATATAACGCATTGCTTACACTTAAAAAAGGATGGGCGATCAATAAAACTCGTATAAAATTGCTTAAGTTGCACGTGATTGCATGACTATTTATAAATAGGATGAGAATTATATTGTTATTTAATTAACTATTCATAAGTTAATAAATGAGTGGTGAGCGGCGTATATTTATAGTTTTATACACACAGGAGCGCAAAGGCAGCTAGACGATCGAACACTTATGGTTTGTTGTTCTTTCATTCTTTCGTTCTCCAATTCTTTCTTTCTTTCTTTTCTTTCTTTCTTTCTTTCTTTCTTTCTTTCTTTCTTTCTTTCTTTCTTTCCTTCCTTCTTTCTTTCATTCGTTCGTTCGTTCGTTCTTTCCTTTTTTTTCTTTCTTTCTGTCTTTTTTTTCTTTCTTCTTTTCTTTCTTTCTTGCTTACTCTCACTTTCTTAGTGCATTTCTCTTTCTAATTTTTTACTTACTCTGATCATTCACTTTTGCACTCGTTCAAACATTGCGCACATAAGAATTGAGAAAATATGTATACATAAAAATGTCGTGGCTCAGTAGCGATAATAGAAGTAATAGTAATAGTTTAATAGTAATAGTAGTAATAGTGATAGTATAGACATACTAGTAGAAGTAAAAGTATCAATGATAAATATAGTCAAACATGATAGTCTCATCTAATCAGAGCACAATGTGTTCTTTTTTCTTGTATTTCGTTTATGGCTAGTTACTAGAGAAATAGTGAGAAATTGGGTTGAGGCGTGCTGTGTGTATGTATGTATGTATGTATGTGTATGTTTATATGTAATTCATAGGTATCGTTGGGGTAAGACACGAGTCAATACCTAACAAAAACCTTTCAAAATGTATTCTAAAAACATAGATAAGAGCATTCTGGGTTATGCTTCTCTGTTTTCTTTTGTACATGACGCTACATCTTTTTACAATCATAATTAAGAATTACTATCATAAATAAGAACTTGTAAAAAGTATACCTGGTACCGTGAATCGCGAAACTTCCTTTGTTAAAAAATCGTCATCCTGAATATTAGGGATGTCTACAAAAATCACCGAAAACTTGCATGAGGAGCGATAGCAGTCATCTTTTGAACGGTACTTAGGTTGTATTGCTGTGGCGGGATCGTAGTAATAATAATAGTGACAATGATGGTAACGGTAATTACGGTAATGATGATAATGATAAATTGCTGAATGGTCCACGGCAGGGGATCACTTGTCAGAACTTGGGCACTCTCCAGGTTGTTTCATTATACTATAATCTAGACGGTATTGAGCTGAAAGTAAAAATATTATTTATGACAAAAAAGCGACATATGTATTTTATTCGCATATAATTATAAATATAATAATTATAAATAATAACATTCTATACATATGTAATAATATAATTAAATTTATACTAACTAATTTGATATAATTAAAATTTTCGAAAAAAAAACTTATAAAATTTATAATATTAAAAAAAAATTTATTATTATAAATCAAAATTTAGCTAATATAAGTATATTCAAATATACAAATAAGCGTAATATATATATGCAAATATATGTATGCAGATTCAATTTTTTAATAAATTGTCCATTTGAAAATAAAAATAAAAATAAAAAATATAGAAATGAATTATGAAAAATCTTGTACCTTTTTTAGTAAGATCCTCCATAGTTTGATCTTTACAATCAACTGCAAGATGACTACTACTGCCACAATTATAACACGAAATTTTCGTTGGTGGGACGGCAGCCGGTGCATATGTTACAACTGGAGTAGGTGGCATATATGGCGTCTGAACAGGTGTTGTAGCTGCATTTGGTGGAGGTGGTGGTGTTCCTCCCGAAGATGGATGTCCAGGATATTGATACATCATTTCACCATTAGGTTGATACGTAGTTGGATAAGTTGGCCTTGCATACGGTCCATGTGAGAAGTTAGAATAAATACCACTACTCGGTCTCAAAGCCGGGAAATGACCATGCGGCAAATATGTGACCTGCGAATGCGATGGTGGCGCGGGAAAGGAAACACATTGTGATAGATTTGGGGGTCCACCGCCGTTCACCATTTGATTTTTATGACGTATCACATGTGCCTGATTTCTTTTAGTACGTTGCCTTTCCGGGCCTGATTGTATAGGCTGTTGGGATACTGGATGTGAAACTGCACTTGTAGAATGTACTGGTGCAGAGCTAAGATGGTCAGTAACTGGTGGTGCATTGCTCTCACTTCCGCTCACCCACGGTGCTGCTGGAGGAGTTTCCGGCGGAGATCTACTACCAGTACTGTCGGAACTACTGCTCTGTGAACAATGCCTGCTGCCCTCAGGGTCTAACCTCAAGGCTTGTAATTGTGTTAAACAATATACGTGTTGAGCATTGCACCTAAAATATTTTAAAATATTATTAAAATCAAAGATTGATTTTTATGAATGCGTGAATTTTTTTCTTACCTTGAGTATCGATTTTGTACCCCGGCAACAGGTAATGTAAGACAGGCATAACATGGTGCATTCTGTGCAGCATACATCGGTGGTGGTGCAGGATACATTTGTATTTGCGCAGGATCTAATGGTGGCATAGGATATCGCCGTAAATTAGGAGTAGCTGCATGATTATGATGATGATGCATCGCTGGATGCTGTTCCTGTAAGGGCATTGACTTACTGCTTTGATTTCCATTATCATTCAACATCTCCATTCCTGGTATAGCCTACATAAAAGTTTTGTAACGTATCCATTAAATAAAAATTGATAATTAATAATATATTAATACATAACAAATATAAATTATTAATTATTACCTCATTTTCAGCTGGATCTACTACTGTATGTGTTGTGCTAGTAGTACTCTCTAATTTTTTGTCAGTGGAAATTTGATTTAAACCATTAGTGGTTTGACTTTTAACTATACTTCGCAATTGTCCTACAGCATTCGGCGTTAATCCTATTTCTCTCAAGTCCTCATCGCTCATTCTTCGAATCTATATAATATATTAACTATATTAAATATTAAATTATATAATATATTATATAATTATATTCACTAATGTCATAAAAATATTTTATTATATGTGTAGAATAAATACGAATTCGTAATTTAATCTAATAAAATGATATGAATAATATGATTTAAATTAAAATTTTTTAATTTAATATATTTTAAATTAAGATTTTTTATCAAATATTTTATGAAATTTCGAATTATTTTACAATTCTATTATCTTACCTCGTCAAGAGAAAAATTCTGCAAATTGCCTTTGAAATTTGGCATTTCCTTTCCTAATGTTTCTCGTAAAGAATCACCAGAAATTGAAGACCGCAACCGTGGTGGTGGTGGTTGTTTTGATTGAGGTGCTGCCGGAATTAAGGTAGAAGGGGTATTCTCGATGCTATTATGCCGTGAAAAAGTAGTAGAACTGCTGATAGACAAGGGAACAGAGCGTGATGGAAGCAATGGAGGTTGACTAGGATGACTTCTGTTCGTACCCAATGTGGGAAGTGGAGGAAGGGAATTGGCATTTGAGCTACAGATGCTTGTCTGACTGTTAGAGGCACTCGTTGACGTTGTTAAGGTATTTGAAGTAGATTGAGTCACTTGCGAAGAGGTGCGCGGCATTGTATTATTTCTGCGACCCATTGGGGAATTGCTGCGACTAGGAGATCGAGACTGGGATGGTGACGATTGACGGCTGACTAAGGGGGAAGGTGGATAAGCCAACATGTCGCCAGAGTGATACATCAGTTGATTCCCCATCATAACCTGACCTGTCCATGGTGGCATATGATTTACTGATGGAAAGCCAAGATGAAGGTATTGTGTTGCACCACCTGATCCCATTGGCATTTGTTCTGGAGTTGGCAGGCATAATCCAGGTGGAGGCATAGAAAGACCAGGAGGAACTCCAGTTACCATGGTATTATTTCTCATTGTCATTTCTCCTATAAAGATATTACATAAACAATTATTAATATATGTGTATATATATATATCAAATAATGAAATAGAAATGCATTATAAATACCGTGATAAGTTTGCATTGGAGGTGGAGCTATCATACAACTGCCCTGCATTTCCGTATCCATTAATCTTTCATTTGTATTTATACATGGCGTGCAACCCTATTATTGCAACAGATATAAGAATATAATTTAAAATAATATTTACAGTTTCTTCTTTTTAACTTTTATATTAAATTTTGAAATTAAAAAAGAATAGTACTTAATTATAAATATAATTATAAATATAATTTATTTAAAATAGTCATGATATATTTATTTCCATAAATAAATAAATATAAAAATTTACACATACTTGTGCTTGTTTATAGGATGAATTTGATTTTGAGAGATTCAAACGAGCTTCTTCTTCTTGAAGTTTAATGTAAATGTTACCAAAAACACTTTTCTGCTCATATGTAAATGCTGGATGATTTAAAGCCATTGTATACAACAAAAGTAGCTCTTCTAGAGGTTGATCATCCGGTGTAAAGGTGGTCCCATTTAATAGATTAGAGATTTCTTGATAGTCAAAATTTGATAAATTCTTATATAAGATGACAGCACATGCATAATTACAAGAATGTAATAATGCCATATAGAGAGCAAGTTTCCTTCGTGTGCGTTTATCTGCCACACCTAAGGTTGTTAACTCGGCAAGATCAGAAGCACTGTTTGCATGATGTTCTGTGTCACGAAGATCATTGTAATCCCGTTTACCAATATCCTCTACACAAGTGCCAAGATATCGTACTTCAAATGGCAGGCACATATTTAATAATGTGCACATGACATCGATGCGTTTATAACTGCACACACATAAATATATTTTTTTATAAATAATAAACTTACTAAAAATATTTTTTTTTCATAAATATGAAATGTTTCTGTATAATCAAAGTTTTAAAAAATATAAAAATATACTTATATACAACACTAACATAATAACTAATATAATTAATTTATAAAAATTGTTAAATATTAAATTGGAATAAACAATAATTATTTACAATTAAATAATCTTTCAAAATTATAAATATATAAATTTTAAATTATAATATTTTATATAATTTATATTAATACATAATATATATTTATATTTTTATTTATTGAAATTAGATTTAAATTCTTTTCATAAAATATTTGTATTTAAAAATTATTTTAAAAAAATGATATAATAATGATATAATAATAATTATTCATTATTATAATTATAATATATAATAATAACTATATATCAAAAATTATTAAAATTATATCAAAATAATAACATGTATATGACAAAATTTATATATGTATAATTCTTATTAAAACATGTTGCAATAGTGTTTAATCATTAAATTTCTAATAATATACTTTTTAAAATTTTATTATAACATATATTCCATATTTTATAGGAAAAACGAATAATATTGATATTTATAATAATATTAAATATATATCATTTTTTATAATTTTAAATCGAAAATGTTCATAAAAAAATTTAATTATTAATTCATTATAATATCTTCCATATACACGAAATTAAAGGAAAACAGTTGCTACCATACTTGGAGTTTCTGTATAATAAACAGAAAAATTATATATCGATAATGAAGTAAATTAAACATTAAAGAAAATCAATATTTACATTATTTTTTCAGTATTAATATATTCATTTAAATTTTTGACATACGATTAAGATTAAATTGTAGAATATTCTTTTTGGTTAGTTCAAAATTTGGTAAGGATGAAGAGGTCATAGTGAAAAACGAAACGGAGTACTATAAATAAGAAAATATAGTACTCCATTTCCGAACAAGAAGAATATGGCATTAGTTAGAAAAGAAACTGATAATACTTTTATTACCTGGACAGATTCCCAAACCATGATACTACGTTCTCCTTACACACCATTGCCAGACAACATTGATACCACTTGGGCTAAAGAAAGCGCCGATGCGGACAGCTTTGGCGCCTCGGGTGTTGCTATCAAGTGACAATCACGGCGGAGTCTGGTACAATAACGAACCAGTTTCAAAGCATTCACGAATGTGAAAGATTTGTTAAAATCCGAAGGCAATCAGCCGAGGAGAGTACTTCAAACGTACAGCGGCGGTAGCAGCAGTACGGCACACCGTGAAGTATCCACATTCGCGGCAGCAGGCAGAGGCAGGCACGACCGAATGATCGGTGAAAACGACAACCATTAACGAACAAATCACACGTTCATCAGAAACTTCGCATAAACAAATATACGGTCGTACCGTTAAAAATAAAATTCCACCTCTGCAATTGTCCCTACTGCGTACATTAATTCTCACGAGATGTTCCAAGTCGAAAAGTCGAGTCTCGAGATCCGTTCACATGCTCGCGTTAAAAAAGGCATCAAGCACTTGCTGCTCCAATTTATAAGAGGCATTTCCATGTATGTAAGCAATCACATTTACTAACCATTGCATTGGCTATTATTTTATTTATTATCAATTAAAAATATATTTTAATATTTAACATAATACGTTAAAGCTAATTTAAAATATTTTATAATGATCGTTAGAAAATCATTATTTTAGAAATTATAATCATTAGTTTTCAATATCATACAATCTTACATAGATATCAGATTTAAGTATTATCCTTAGATTTATGTATTAAATATGATTTAACTTTGAATTAGCGTTAATCTTTTAAATTCGAGTCATTAATATTTATTTTTTTAAATTTTTATAATTGAAATTAATTGAATATATATGAAAAATAATCAAAATTAAAACAAAACAATATCAAAATTAAATAAAAATCTATTATCTATTAATTTATCTATAATAATTAATAATAAATTATCTATAATAATAATAAGATAAATATTTTTCATTATTAAAATATTCTCATATGCACAACATTAATATACACAGAATACAATTAATTTTATTAATATTTTATTTATCTACACTTAAAAATCACACATGCAACTTTTTAAAGTTAATTTCAAGGGTAAGATTTATTTACAATAAATTAAAAGAATAACAAGTTTGATAATATTTCATATAATTGCTTGTCCAGAACCAAATAATAAATATACTATACATCCTAATATATCTATTATAGCTATAAATATAAATACAACAGACCAGCTGTGTGTTACATGTAATATATATCCAGAAAAGTATACTCCAAGAAATCCTGGAAATATTTTATATTATTATTTTTATTGATAACAATAAAAAATATATATATTAATTTATAATTATATATATATATATATATATATACCAGGTATGGCACCAACAGTGTTCATTAATCCAAATACACTTCCAGAATGTTTTGGTGCAAGATCTGATGGATTTACTGCAATTGCATTATTATGAAAACCTGAACCACCAATTATAAATGCAAGACAAATTATTGCACTTTGAAAAGTTTCCACTTTTGCTGAAATAATTTTAAATTTAATTCTGTTATATAATTTTTTACGGAGAATTATTTCCATACCTAAAAATAATAAACTTATGACTTCAATTAGAAAACATATTGTTTCAATTATTTTACGTGTTACTGTAACAGAATACCCTGCTTTTATTATTTTCTCGGAAAGGGCTTTACCCAAAAATGTACAAGGTAACATAGATAGCCACGGTACCATATTTACAACCCAACCCTAAATATATATAAAATAATAAATAAAAATTCTAAACAAATGGTATATTTAAATGATATAAGAAAAATATTTATTAATAATTAACTACCTTTACTTCTGGAAATGTATCATGAAAATACATTGGCATCCAAGATAATAATACAAAAAAACAATTATTTTGGCAAGCATGACCTATTACACATGACCTAAAAATAATGAAATTAATATGTAAAACTTATATATCTATAAATTTGTAATTATAATATTTATATAAGTATCCATATAACTTTATATATACTTTTTATATTAAGATTTGTGTCAGAAATTGTGTGACTTATGATAATTGAATTCAAATTGATCCCATGCACAATGATTACCAGAATGGAGGCTTTTTTAAAAGCTTCAACCAAGGCAAAGTGTAGGTAGTAGATGACTTAGTAGAAGCTGCTTTTTCCTTAAAGGGTAGAGTATGATAACTTAATAATAATGTCCATGCCAAACTTAAACCTCCTAAGACAATAAATTTTTTAATAGAAATATATTTAATTTAATTTACTATATGATTTATATTTATCAATAAATATGTATATTATTCTATAATTTGATTTTTTAAAATTACAAATTAGAAATAATATATTTTTGCATAACAAGTTTAACATAAGTATAACAAATTTATTTGTTAATTTAATATATTTTTTTATTCAATTAATATCCTCCCTTAACATATATATAAAGATGTGGGAAATATTGGTAAAATATATATTATATTATTAAATCAAAAATGAATGAATCAATTAAAGAAAATATTAATATTAATGTAAATTATAATGTATAGTTAATACAATTAAATTATAATTATAATATTTATTTACCTAATGTTTGAAAAACTGTTATCCAATTATAATTTTCTAATAAATAAGAACCTAGAGATCCAGTGAGTAATGTGCCAAGAGCAGATCCTGATGTTAATAAACTAAAAAATGAAGCTCTTTCTGTTTCATGTAATCGCTGACTTATTAAACTAATCATACTAGGAAAATGCATTCCTGTAACATATGACATATAAAGAATAAATTATTTTTTATATTTCTATTATTCAATTTATTAATTTAGAATACCTTGGAATGCACCATTTATCGTTCTTATTGTTGCTACTAATAATACAGAATTATCATTTTTTGAAAAAAATTCTATAACTTCTGGCATAAAAAATGTTGTCATAGACCATCCAAGAGCAGAAATTAATAAAACTTTCTGTCCTCCAATTTTATCACTAATATAACCACTAGCAACTTGTGTTAATGTATAACCCCAAAAAAAACTAGATAATATTATTCCAGAATCTGGTTTGGACCATTGTTTTTCTCTACTTATTATTGGCATTAGTAAAGGAACAGATGTTCTTGTGGCATATATAAGACAAGTACCACATAATAGTGATAAAAACCATTTTCGTCTTTCCTTCCTAAAAAAAAGTTGCTTCATAATTTTATACACGGACATATGTCATTAATTTAAAAAAATAATCTAATAAAAAAGATAAAAAAAATTTTATAAATTATTTTATAAATTATTTTTCTAATATTTTAATAGAAAATAATTACCTTGACCAAAATGAATTTGTTTTTTCATCTTGAATTAATCCTAAAGATATTTGCATTTGCATTTCTCATCAAATAATTTCATTCGTAAATAATTTTTTCCATATAATTAAACTATTAAAATATAAATTATAAATATATATTTTTTTTCCTAAAAATATAATTTATATATTTTCTGTGAATTAATAGTAAAAAAATTAAAATAAAACCATACCTTACACTTCTCATGTATGAATTTATATAATTATGAATTTACAAATTCAAATCATCATTGTTTAAAATAAGTCAATTTGTTATGAATATTTATTAATAATTTTATCAAGAAAATAATACGTTAATAATACAATTAATTATCTTTCTTTTTAATTATATCACAAAAACATAATGATTATATTTTTGTTTACTTTAGCTGTTTAGAATTGTTTAAATAAATATCAATTTTATTCTTTTTACATAGAAATAGATTGAAAGATAGAAATATACATTGATTAATATACACATTGACGTTGCATTATTTGAAAACTTCATAGAATAAGCAACGTCAATAATATGAAGTTGCTTTTCAAATATACAAGCGCGAAAATATATAATGAAGAAATAGGATAATATATATTTAATACACATTCTGATATATTTTTATATTTGCTTTGTTTTCACTCTTCAAAATTTGTTTATATTCTTTATATTATTATTATTATTATAAAATTTAGCTGTAAATATCTAATAATATTTTTTCAATAGTACTTTTAAGTTCTAAAAAAATTATTACTTAAAAAATTAAAATTTAAAATTATTTATATGATTTATATAAATAAAATAGAAATATGTATTTTTATTTTTATAATATAATATATAATACTATCAGAAAAAAATCATTGATCACTGATACAAAATCTGATTAATGAAAATCTAGAAAGATCCTAAAAAAGGAAGACTTCGTGAAAAAGAAACGAATATTCGATTCGTTTAATATATAAATAATCGATTTCATATCTTATTAATTACTTATTTTGAATTTTTACTCATTCTATGAGCAAAATGCTTCAATATTTCATGGGCACCAACTTATACAAATCAAATTCTTAAATTAAAAAATTGTTAAATTTCTAATTCATATAATAATAATAATAATCTTATTATTATAAAAATTAATAAAAATGAAATTCAAAAAGATATATGTATATATATTATATATTATATAAACGAATTACATTCATTCGATAAATGAAAGTTTAAATTCAACAAATTTAATTATATCAATTAAATTATTAAGAAAATAATGTATTATAAATTATATTAATATAAAAATATTTATTATTTATCATTTCATTTTTGATTTTAAGCTTTTATAAAATATTTATGATTTATTTTTATATAATATTTTCTTTTATTTCATGTACAAAATTTTGTAATTTCGAATCTATTAAACACCTTATAGAATAAGTGTTCTTACGTTCTTTAGAGTAGAGTAAGTAGTTAATACATTCAATTCGTTAAATTGAAAGTGATAAGCGGATGGATTGACATTTTATTATATTATTAATAAAATGGCTCAAAATAAGATTAAATTCGCATTTACTTATAATTTACTTAACAAGAAGAAAGTTGCTTTATATGGCAGTAGATCATTGGGGTAAGATTTCGCAATTAAGTAACCTTATTTTTTTTTTGAACAATTTATCTTTGAATTATAGAATATAATAAATTAAAATTATTAATACTTCGTGAATTTAGATGTGACATTAAATTTGTTTTTATTTTTTTTAAATTTTAAATTTTGAAATTTAAATAATAATATTTAAATAATTTTAAATAGATACATGAAACTGAATGAATTGGAAAAAAATGTAAAATCATAATAAAATTATGAACAGCTTTGGAAAAAATTCATTTTGATGAATCAATAAAGATAAAAATTTGAATGTGATTTTAATTCTAAAAAATTAATAATTATGAACTTAGATATAAATATAAATTATTATAAATATATTTTTTGAAATTGACATTAAATTTTAATAAAAATTAGCATAAAATATTAAAAATAATATTTTATTAATATCAATGATAATAATTATTTTATATGAAATTTTGATTAATATTAAATTATTTTGTATATTATAGTACATGGTGGCCTCATGTAAAAATGGGCCCACCAGATGCAATTTTAGGTCTTACAGAAGCATATAAAAAAGATCAAAATCCAAATAAAGTTAATTTAGGAGTTGGTGCTTATCGAGATGATAATGGTAAACCATTTGTTTTACCAAGTGTACGAAAGGTATATATATATTTAAAAATAGTTTAGTTAAAATATGTTTAAAAACTATATAATTTTCTTCATTAATTTTATAAATTTAAATGTTTAATAGGCAGAAGAAAAAATTAAAACTAAAAATATGGATAAAGAATATGCACCAATTGCAGGAAGTTCAGATTTTTGTAAACAAAGTATTAAATTGGCACTTGGTGATGACAGTGATATTATTAAAAATGGTTTAGTACGTATTATATATAAAATATATTTTTTAAAAATATGAGACATAGATAAATTGAATTTAATTTTCTTAGATATAAAATATAAATAAAAAATAAAAAAAAAAGTTATTTATATATGTATCTGTATTTATTAATTTTCAGAAATATAATAAATACCTTCCATTTCTGAAAATTAAGGTATAATAAGATATTAAGGTATAATAAATACCTTATATTGAATTATAAGAAAAACTGATAATTTAATATATATCTGATTAATATTAGATGTTTAATATTTTTTTTAAATATTTTTAATGATTAATGTTCAATTATTAATTTTTATTTATTATTACATAATTTATAATTTTTATAAATTTTACTATTTGTATTTTCAAAAATTTACATTACAAATTTATCATTTTATATAAAAATAATAACATAACATATAATAATAATATAATATAACATAAATAATAATATAATATAAATATTATTTTTAAAAATATTTTAATTTAAAATTTGTAAATAATATATATAGGTGTAATATATGTATTATGTTTTTTCTTATTATAATATATAAAAGATTTATTTTTTTTATCATAATATATAAGAAAAATAAAATTAAAAAATTAAAGTGAAAAATTAAATTAATAAAAGAAGAAAATCAAAAATAATTTTTTATTAAATTTGATTCTGAAAAATTATTTTAAAAAATTTATATATATTCTCAAATATGTATTTGATGATCATAGAGAATCCTTTAAGATAATCTTGAAAATTATTTTAAGATGTTTTTGCAAAAATATTTTGCATACTTACATATTCGAGATGGATCATGAAAACAATGAAAATCTGCTATATGTATATAACAAGCATTTAATAAAATACGATATTCATTTTAAAAATATAAAAATATATTTATAGATGCAATTATAAATGTATTCAATATGATTGTAATCTTAATATATGAGGAATAATTTAAAATAAAAAATGATTAAATAAATTTTAATATTTTTAAAATATTGAATTACTTAGATATATAATCATTATTCATATATATTATATATTAACACATATTTAATTTTTTTTTAATATATGCTATTTATTTTTATAATTTTTAATATAAAATTAATTTATAATTTACAATTTATATTTTGTAGAATGCTACTGTTCAAGGAGTTTCTGGTACAGGTTCACTTTATATTGGATCACTTTTTTTATCGCAATTCTTTTCTAGTAATAAAGAAATATATGTACCAAAACCTACTTGGGGAAATCATAGTCAAATATTTAGACTTGCAGGGCTTCCAATGAAATTTTATCGTTATTATGATCCAAAAACATGTGGATTAGATTTCAATGGTGTTTTAGAAGATTTATCTGTTAGTAATATATAAATATTATAATGATAAATAATATAATATATTTACAAATTCTATTTATAATATAATATTTTACAGAAAATACCAGAAAAATCTATTGTTCTTTTTCATGCTTGTGCTCATAATCCCACTGGTGTTGATCCTAATCCAGATCAATGGAAAGAATTGGCTGAAATAGTAAAGAAGAGAAATCTCTTTCCCTTTTTTGACATGGCATATCAAGGGTTTGCTTCAGGTAGAATAATACATAAAAAAAATTAAATAATTTAATTTTTAATAACATACAAAAATTTGCATTTTAAAATATTTTGATATAAATTCTAGGTAGTCTAGATAATGATGCTTTTGCTGTTAGATATTTTGTGAAAAATGGAATTGACATTATGTTAGCCCAGTCATATGCAAAAAATATGGGTTTATATGGTAAACATATTAAATATAATTTTATTATAATCTTTTTTGAAAGATTTTTAAGTTATAAATTTTTATAGGTGAACGTGTAGGAGCATTATCGATAATTACATCCAACAAAGAAGAAGCAGATCGTGTTCTTTCACAATTGAAAATTATAATTAGACCAGCATATTCCAATCCACCAATTAATGGTGCTAGAATTGTTAATGAAATCTTAAACGATTCTGAATTAAAAAGACAATGGCTTACTGATGTAAAGACAATGGCTAACCGTATTATTTCTATGCGTCAAACATTGACTAATAATCTTAAAAAATGTGGTAGTTCTCGTGATTGGTCACATATTACAAATCAAATTGGAATGTTTTGTTTTACTGGTCTTAAAACTTCTGAGGTATTATATTTAATATTGTCTATTTTTATTGTTACTAATAATTTAATTTTTATTTATTTGTATTATTTTATAGGCAGAAAAACTTACAAAGGACTATAGCATTTATTTGACAAAGGATGGTAGAATATCTGTGGCAGGAGTAACAACAAAAAATGTAGATTACGTTGCACAAGCTATGCATGATGTTACAAAATAATTAAATAATTAAATATTTCTACGTTTCATCAAATTTCTTTAATTAGATAAATAATATTTTTTCTAATATAAATTATATTAATTATATTATTANAATAATAATAATAATAATAATAATAATAATAATAATTATATATATAAATAAAATAATATATATAAATATGTACTTTATATCAAATGCATTTAATTTTGCACGCTATTTTTATAAAAAAAACTGCAGGCAGTACTATTGTAATGATGCATTAATATAATATAAATTTTATGTTAACTCTTTATCAATATGATTATTTATTGAGATGATCCTTTATAATTCTCATAAGTTATATTATTATTATTTTGTTATTATACATTTAATATAATAAAAGAATTTATAATATTAATTTATTTTTTTAATATAAGTTTAATGCATTACTTTATAATATGTTCAATAATTCAATACAATTTTTAATATATTATAATTAATTAATTTAAATTAATATAGATATTATTCATTAATCATAAAAATAAAAATTTTTGTAAAATATATTAAATTTTATAATATATATATATAAATTTATATTATATTATTTATATTATATTTATATATAAATTTAATATATATAAATTTTATAATAAAAATTTTTACAAATAATTACAATAAAAACTTTTAAAGATTATTTTATAATAATTTAATTATCATGTTAATTCTTGTTAGATTTAATTATATTTGTTTAACTATTGTACTAATTAAAATAATTTAAACATAAAGGTACAAAAAATTCCGCTAGGTGCATTTCGAATCATCTGATATATACATATGTATACAATAAATCGTCTGTTTTGTGTATAGCATATGTCATAGTTATAAGTTATACTAAAAATTAACAAATTTTTAAAAAATTCTATCATTCATAAAACTTCGGAAGAGTGTTACAACAAATATATAAATATGGTAAAAAAAACTACATAATGAAATGAAAAATAATGATCAAATATTTTTTATTCAATAAATTCTTTAATAAAGCAAGGTTAAGTTATGCTGATTAAAATGACTTTTCATTTTCAGTTTGGATTTAACATGTTTCCGGAGATTGTAAGACCTTTCAACAATCATTATAGATGTTTTTCTGTATCAATGTTACCGGGTACATATCGACGAGATGTAGAACGTGGAGGAAAAAGTACATATACCCATAAAATTTATTATAATTTATGCACAAATAATAAGTAAAAGATTATAAATTATTGTTTTTAGTAATCATGCCACCTTCAGCTTTAGAACACCTTACAAGATTAAACATTAGATTTCCTATGCTATTTAAATTAAGTAACGAAAAAACCAATAGAATTACTCATTGTGGTGTTTTAGAATTTGTTGCAGATGAAGGAAGAGTTTATTTACCTTGTTGGGTAGGTTTCAATTTTAAGTATTTTATTATTGATTATAAACATTATATATATAATATAATTCAATATGCTTTTAAAACAATTTGATTACAGATGATGTATAATCTTTTATTACAAGAAGGAGATCTAATAAATGTTGAAAGTGTAAATTTACCTGTTGCAACATTTTCACGTTTTCAACCTCAATCTGAAGATTTTTTAGATATTACAAATCCTAAAGCTGTTTTAGAAAATGGATTAAGAAATTTTGCTTGTCTCACAACAGGTGATATTATTGCCATAAAATATAATCAAAGAATATATGAAATGTGTGTTTTGGAAACAAGACCTGGTCCAGCAGTTACTATCATAGAATGTGATATGAATGTTGAATTTGCTCCTCCACTGGGATATGTAGAAAAAGAAACTAAGAAGGATGAAAATGTAGTAGATCCTGCAGATTTAATGCCAGCCCCATCTGGTTTTGTACCATTCAAAGGAGAGGGTAATAGATTGGATGGCAAAAAACGTAGAGATTTTGCAAAACCAGAAGTAACTACAAATAAACCAGCTTATGTTAGAGGAATACCAGATTATGATTACAAAATAGGAACACTTACATTCTTGCGTATTATTAAGCCTGTAAATAATAAAGAGGTATGTTGAAAAATTTTTTAATAATATTTTTTAATACTTTTTATTATACAATATATATTTTTATAGGCAAAAGATCAAGATGAATTTAAAGCATTCACTGGTGAAGGTTTTTCTCTTAGAAAGTCAAAATAATTAAATAATTAGTGATTTATTTATTTTCATACAATTACATGTATTTGTAAAAGTGAGTATTTATATTTGTAATTAAACTGTTGTACTTTTTAACAAACAATTTTATATAAGTTCTTCAATCATTATATTACTTATAAGAATTTTTATTTAATATATATTATTTTCTTATTTAATATATATTTAATATATGTATATAAATTTTTTATTTAAATTCATATTTTTAATTTATATCATGGGATGATTTATTTTTTAATCTATTTTATAATTCTATATTTAACTTAACAATTTTAGATATGAGATTAAGAAGTTTTCACTTATATTATAAAAATAATTAATATATAATATTTATCACAAATTATAGGCTTGCAATAAGAAATTTAATCTATCAATGGACCCCAGAAATATTTACTGGGTTTTGTAGGATCTTCTGTTAAGAAAAATTCACGACCCAATATTATAAATTCTTTGGAACTAATTTTACCATCATCATTAATATCAATATGACTGAAGGAGATAACTGCATCCTATAATAAATATTTATTTTTATTATTTTTTTTATATTAATTATTATAGAAAAATATATAATCTTACTTACATCATGTGTAAGTCCTAAACATTGGAAAAATAACTTATATTCTTGTATAGAAATTTCACCATTATGGTCTTTATCTACTGCCTGCAATTTTTTTTAGATAATATATTTAAAATATTTTTTAATATTATTGTTTTATATATAAAAATATATTTTTGAAAACATACTTTGAATAAAAATGGCAAAAAATGATGACATTTTTTTTTCAATGATGAATCATTAAGAACATGTTGCATTTTTTCCAGATATTTTTCAACACAAATAAGATTATATGGACTAATTTCTCCCCATTGTTCTTCCCACATTTCCTATATATAATATATAATATAATAATATAATTTTATTATTTTATATATTTTTTAAGAATTGATATTCTATTTTTATGCATAAAATATATATATAAGGCTGACTTACATTTAATACTTTTTTGAATTCAACTTTAGCTTCTAAATTTAAATGTCCTAAGTCGCAAAATCTTTTTCTAAACAACATAAAATCATCATAACTAATAATACCATCTTTATTAACATCCAAATGACTATGTAATGTTCGCATTTTTCTTCTCCAAAAAATTGATTGGCCCTAATAAATAAAAATTAAAAAAAAGAATAATTATTGGTTTAATAGATTATATAAAAAAATACGCATTGAATATGAATTTATTTCGTAATTTTTTAAATTAATTATATTTAAATAATAATTAAATTTCAAAAAATAATAAACGACAAATAATTTTTAAAAAATATAACATTTTTATAATTTATAAATAAATTATTTTTATGATTTAAAAATAAATAAATATTAAAATATATTAAGTAATAAAAAAAAATGTTTTACCCTTTCTTGTTCATTGTCTGAATCGTTATCAATTACTTGTTCATTTAAAGAGATTGAAGTACTTATTTGATGCACATTTTTTGTATTATACGTTTTCGGAACATATTTACAATACTAAAAATAAAATAATTAAAATAAATATAATGAAAATAAATATAATGAAAATATATATTTATTTTTACGAAAATTTTAATCGACCAAATTATATCATAATATTACATTGCAGCACATATATTAGAATCGTAAATATAATTGGAATATATTATATGTAATTCAATATGTTCAATATAATGTAAAATCAATAATAGATTAATAATAGATAAATTTAGATAGAATAATAAATAAATCGAAATGTTAAATTCATTTATATAAAATTACAATAATATATAAAATAATAAAATTATATATAATATATAAAATTTATATAAAAATTACAATGAATTAAAAAAATATTTAATTCTATAAATGAACAATTTTAATAAAATTATAAAATTTTTCAAAGATCGATATTTTTTACAGATATAGACTTAAATCAATTATTAATAATTTATTACAATAGAAATACATATTAATAATTAAAATAAAATAATATGTTTTTATATTCTTTTTTGTTTTATTTTTTTTCTTTATATTTTTTTATGTATATATAAAAGATATTATACACTTATATTTTGTATTTGAAAGAATATAAGAAGAGATAATAAATTTTAAACTTTACTTTCTATAAAAATCTCAAAAAATAAAAAAAAGAAAAAGAGACAAATAATTGGCTGGAACTTATATAGAAGATTAGGATAGTTTCAGTTATCTCTATATAAGAATACTTTCCGTATTCATAATTCATAAAATAAATACAAATCTTTAATAATATTTTTCATTTTAATAATTTAAATTTATTATTAATATAAATATTTTTTTAATTATAATAATTAATTAAAAAAATTTATTATATATTAGATTTTATTTTATATAATATAAAAAATAAATTACCTGTTTAGTATATATATTATAGTATGATTGAATGGTATTTTGTTTTTGTGGTATTTTACAATATAAAAGAGCTATTTTTTCAAAACACTTATTAGAAATTACAAATCTTAAACCAGTTTGTAATAATATTGTTGTCATTTTAACTCAAACTATAAATTATCTTTATGCAACAAAAAGTATAACATCAACTTAAAGCCGTTTGAGAATCAGTTGTGAAGAAAGTGAAAAAGAATAGTAGGCCCTTTTTGATGGGTCGGTAGGTCTCAAATTCTCCTCTTTGTTCTTTGCGCATGCGCAATAGTGTTCATCTGTTTTCCTTTTTCTTTCTATTCCTTGATTACGAGCATCGATGCACGTCCCCTTCTTTACACAGATAAAGTCATAAGCGTGACATCGATGAAATTGAAAAAAAAATTTTTTAAATTTGATAAATATCAAAAAATATTGTATTTAAATTTTGTATTTAAACATTAATAATATGCTAATATTAATATTAATTTGTATTATACATGTTAATACATGATTTATATTTTTTTATAATCTTTTTGAGTATATATATAATATTTTTGAGTTTATTTCAATAAAAAATTGAATTCAAATAAATTTAATTTTTGAACAATTAAATAAATAAAAATAATTTTACAATTAGAAATATATATTTTACAATAAAATATAATATTTATATAAAATTTCTATCTTATGCTTTAATATAAATAAATGGAAATTAATATAAATAAATAAAGATATATATGTATCAAGATTAATATTTAATAATTTTAAAATTAAGGATAGTCTTTATAAAGAGTATTTTATTAAATAATATATATTAATAAAATTATTCAAATTTATTTATAGTAATAAAAAATTTAAAAACATTTAATTTTTCCTTATTTTCTACGCCCATGTTTAAAATTATCAATGTATCATAATGTGAAGAAATTTTACGTTTGATTAGATTTAAAAACAAATAAAATTGTAGAACAAAAACAGAATATAAAAATCAAATATAAATATATACAAAAAGATGAATCACCAAAATAAATCAAATTTATATGTATGTGTATAATACATAGATACACATAAATTTGAACGACGAAACGTGACGAAAAGCATGGAACGATCTAATTGATTAATATGTAAATATTATTTTTTGTAAAACAAATGTTATAAAAAAGAATATAATTATCATTACAATCATTAATTATTAAATAAAATAATTAATTATTAAATAAAATATGTGATGTAATTTATATATAATATATTTATTTACATCAAGTGTATTATACAATTACACATATTTTTCATAAATGCTTAAATGTTAATGTATATAAAGTTAATATTTTATATGTATAAATTTTATATAATGTTGAATTTCATTATTATAAATAAAGAAATCTCATCATAATATATATCTTATATTTTAAGATTTTGTATATATTTTAATTTTTCTTGTATTCTATTCTTTCAACTTTTACTTCATCACCAACAAGTTGATAAACATAAGTTACAACTGTCGAACTTTGAATATCCATAAGGACAAAAGAAGGGATAACTGATCTATAAATATAATATATAAACATATATAATATAATATAATATATAACATATAAATATAATATGTATATCAAATATTTATACATATATGAATAACATTTAAAATTTTCTTTATACTATTGACATAAAATCTTACGTGTCAAGAGGATTATATGCTCCGGTTGCTGAACCAGGATTAATATAAAATTTGTTTTCATGTTCATATGCTTCAAATTTATGTGTGTGACCTGATATCAAAATATCAACATCTAATTGTCTTTGAATTAAAGCTAATGATTCTGGATCACCCCAAGGTACTACTTGATGTCCATGTGACAAACCTATTCTAAATTGACCAACAGTAACAACTTTTTGTTCTGGATAATTTAAATTCTATAAATAAAAAAATTAATGTAATATTAAAATTTAATATTTAAAAATTATTAATTATTAAAATAAATATTTAATAATATTAAATAAGATATATACCTCATCAAAATCTCCTCTAACAACATGTACATCACTGGCTAATGTTTTTAAATAATCATATGATTCTTTTGTACAAAGATTACCTGTACACAGAATATGTTGTATTCTACCAGGTACTAATAATTTCTTAAATTTACTTGGAAGACTACTACATCTGTGTGGAATGTGTAAATCTCCCAATACTAAAACAAGCTATAAATATTAAATCTTTAATAAATATAATAAAAAATTTACATAATAAATTTTATAATTGAATGTTGACATATATTTTAAATTTATCAATAGAAACTAATATAATTCTAAAAGATATTTAATTAAAAGATTATTTTACCTTGAGGTTAAAAATTCAAGAAATTTATACTTACAATTAAATAGTTAATTTCAATCAGTAATATTCTATTTTTATTTACTTACCATGACGGATATAATAATATATATTTATGAAATTCTTATTTTTCTTAACGTTAATATTTACTTTATCGCATTTGTTAACAATAAGATTCATAAACTACTCAAACAAACTATTGGAATTGAAAGTATATTTGACAGATAAACTTTCGATTTTCGAGATTCGAGATTATGTTAATCGTCGATTATTCTTACAATGCGCTAAAATATGAACTATATATTCTTATTCTTAACATATATTTCGTTACAATTTATATAAATTTTGTGAAATGTATGTGAATTTATGTTTATTATTTATTTACAATAATTATTTAAATTTTATATAAATAAACAAATTTTAAAATTATGATTAATTGAGCAAATGAAATTGTTTAATGTATTGTATCTTAAATTACGTATAATATGAATTTCTTTTGTTATTTTTTCTAAGTAATCATTAAATTTAAACTTATTTGATGTTTAATCTATAAGAAATATTTTAATAAAAAAAAAATTCAACATGAAGTGTGTTATACCAGGAGCAAATGTAAAAAGTATGTTACTTCATTTAGGTTATGTTTTATTGATTTTTTATTTAAACAATATTAAAAATAAAAATAAAATATATCAATAATCAAATATAAATATAAATATTAGTTTTAGCAAAAGCTATACATGCATTATCAAAAATTGGAGAAGAAATGTACATAGAACCAAAAGAAAATGTTTTATCATTCCGTACTGTTAATATGGCAAATTCTGCATATGCAGATTTTACATTTTTTCAATGTTATTTTTCATATTATGTTTATGGCGATTTACAAGAAAATGATGCATTGAAATGTAAAATTTCAATGAGGGTAATAAGATATTATATTCTTAGTATAATATTACAAATTTTACATTTTACATCATACAAAACATTTTTTTGTGTTACAGAGTGCGATGACTGTATTTAAGGCTTCAAATGTAATTGACAAACAGGTAGAAACATGTCATATTAGATTAGAACCAAATGCATCTGAAATTTTGTTTATTTTAAAGTATAAAAATAGTATTACTAAAACTCATTTATTGCCCATATTAGATTGTGAAATATTACAAGTATGTATCACAAATCTTTAATAAGATTTCTTATTTTATTCTTAATTTATTCTTAATTTATTCTATTTATATTTTACATTATTTTATTATTATTCTTTAGACTATATATAATAAAGATTGTGCTTCAATTAAGCTTTCATCTCAACCACGAGTATTAGGAGATGCAATACAAAATTTTCATCAACATTTAATTGAAATAACACTTGAAGTTTTAACACAAAAGCTTTTATTAAGAAATTATATTGATGATAGCTCAGGTAAATTAAAATATAATAATAGAAATAATTTATTTTTATTATGGAATAAAATTAAAAAATTTATTAGGTTTATCAAATACAACACGTACACAAGTTGTACTTGGAAAGGGAGAATTTGATCAATATGATATTGGTAATGAAACATCAATTACCTTTTGTATGAAGGAATTTAAATCTATTTTAACTTTTGCAGAAATTGCAAATATTCCAATTACTATATATTTTGAAGGAGCAGGAAGGTAAAAATTAATAATATATAATGTAAAAGGTAAAAATTAATAAAGTATTCATTAATATTTTTTAGACCTGTTATATTTGTATTAAAAAATCAATCATTTGAAGTAAATTTAGTATTGTCCACATTAAATTCTGATGCAGATAGTCAAACGGAAACAACAATCAATAAACAAGAAGAAAAGTTTATGAAAAAAAGAACAATAAACAAACGAGTTTCTAAGAAAAATAATAATAAATCTAATAGAATTAAAAATAAATCAATTAAATCTGATAACATGTTAGGAAATATTACTCTCAAAAAACCACATTCATGTTTTATGGAAGAAGAAAAAGAACAAAATAATTCTAAAGAGCAACTTAATTTACCAGAAACAACAACAAAAGATAATCAAAATGTAAATGAAATAAATACTTTGCCAATAAAACAAAATATTCAAGAAAAATTTCAAAAGAATTCTTCATATAGTTGTGACATAATTACAAAATTTAATAAAACATCTATAAGTGAAAAGAAAATGGTAAATTCTATATTTACAATAGCAAAAAGAAAATCTAGAAATGATGAAATTGATAAGCAAGACAATCCACATCATGATAATATTATTGCAATAGAAAATGAAATACCAAATTCGCCTCCTCCACCAACCAAAAAGGCTCGTTTGATTCTTCAAAAATGTTTTCAAACAACATTTGATCCAAGAACATTACCTGGATATGATATAGTTTTAGCCAAAGATTCAGATGAAGATTGCGAATAAAAAGATTTATTTTTATATTTGAATTTTAATCATTAGTTTTGCCCTAATTAATATAAATTTTAATTTATGTTATTATATATTTATAAATGTATCTTACAGATAAACATGTACAATGTATAAATACATGTAAATGTGTGAACACGCGCGCGCGCGCGCGCATTAAATATAAAAAATAGAAACACATGTAAAAAGGAATAATATAAGTATAATAATTATTGTAATATTTAATGCAAATATAAAATTTTGATTTTTATAAAGAATTGTTTTTATTTGATTCTTATATTTATAATTTAATAATATTTTTTATTGTTTAGTCTTTTTTCTAAAAGAATGTATATTGTAAATAAAGGAAGTATATCTTAAAGATTGTATCTTTGTATTTAAAAATGTAATGAAATTACTTTTCATGATTATCTACGTTGATTTATTTCATATATTTATATTTGCGCATGTGCATAGATAATATATTATATGTATCAAGTTACGAAATTTTGACTTCGATATATATATAATTGTTAAAAATTTATTAAGAGATCATTAATTAAAAATATGAGAGCAATAACACGAATTATTATAAAATTTAGTACTGCAACAACTATAGGTTTTAGTGGTTGGTATCTGGGAAAATATTCGGAACAAAAACGACATTTGAATACAGAAATAAGAGACAGTGGAAATATTTTTTCGAATGTAAACATCAAAGAAATGCCTGGTTTGCCTTTATTTGGAACTGTTTCGGCAGCAGTTCCTACAGAATTTAATACAGAAATGGGTTCAAAATTATCATCAACAGCTACTAGAATATCTGAAGTAAGTTATTTATAAAATATTTAACCTCGATAAATATTGATAAATAATATCAAAAGTTTATATTTATTCTTATATTATTGTTTGAGATCATATTAATATTTTTTTTATATTTATTTATTTATGATATAGATATAAGATAAAAGAAATATGCAATGTATGTAATAATGTAAATTATATAATTTTTAATCCTTTTTTTTATAGATTATGAAATATGGTTTTCCTGGATTAGATCATGTTAGGTCTTATGAAGATTTTGTCCTTTCTTATGACAGAAGAAATAGAGTAGCACATTGGGTTTTTGAACATTTAAATAAAGAAAAATTACAAACTAATCAGGAAATATCACGTAGTAAGTGTGAATTCAAATCAGATCCAAGTATACATCCTTTTTTTAGGTAAATATTTATAATTCATAATTATATAATATTTTTATACTAATATTTTAATAATTTTATTGAAATCAGAGCAGAAAACAATGATTACAAAGGCAGTGGATATGATCGTGGACATTTAGCAGCAGCTGGAAATCATAAATGTGATCAAAAACACATAAATGAAACGTTTTTTCTCTCAAATATTTCACCACAAGTAGGTGTAGGTTTTAATAGGGATTCTTGGAATAGATTAGAAAAGTATGTTAGACATTTAACTAAAATTTATAAGGATGTATATGTATGCACAGGTCCTTTGTATTTGCCAAAGTAAGTTTAATAAAACTTATTATTTGATATAATTTATTCATTAAATATTCTAAATATATTATTATTACAGAATAGAGGCTAATGGAAAAAAATATGTTCGATATGAAGTTATTGGTACAAATCATGTAGCAGTACCTACTCATTTCTATAAAATAGTTGTTGGTGAAACACACGATTCAAAATTAGAAATGGAAGCATTTGTAATGCCAAATACTCCTATAGATGACAATACACCTTTAACAAATTTTCAGGTAAATTAATATTAGTAATATTTTTGTATAACAATTTATAAGAATTTATGAATATTTTTTATTATATGTTATATTATATTATATTATATTATATTATATATATATTATATTTTGAAACAATTAATGACAATAGATATCTATTATAACAGGTGCCACCAGAAAGTATAGAACGTGCTGCTGGACTTTTATTTTTTGATAAAATCTCACGTGATAAATTAAATAAAATAAATGGAAAAAAAGTTTGAAAATTAGAACATAAAACTATTAAACAAAATTAAAGTAAATAAGATATTTAACTTTAATAGAATTTCAAATAATTTATAAATTGACAAATTTTACATTTTATAATATTGATGAACATTCACTTATGTAAAAGACATTTTTATATAATATTTTATATATAATTATATAAGATATTTTAATAGATTTAAAATCTTGAAGAAACAATGTTAAATAAATTTTATTATAATCTTTTTTATAGATTGAATTTCATCTAAATTCAATCATTTTTAAAAATAATAAAAATATAAATGTTAAATATAAAATAAAAAAATATATGTAAATTATTTTGTATACGAGTATAATAATATTTTTTAAAACTAAATTCTAAATTCGTTCAATTCATTTTGAGTTGAATCAACTTTATTTACATTTTAATATTTTACATATTTCGGTAATTTTGAAAACTATGAAATATTGCGTAGTGAATTTGGCATTATTTTATTTATTATTGTTTGTAACTATTTTGTGCAATTACTTTTATAAAAAATTATATAAAATTATATAATCAATTTATTACATATTTATAGGTGCTGGAAATATTTATAGATACTATTTTTTTTATATATGTATTATATGGATTATATAAATTTAATTTAATTATTATATATAAAAATTATAATTAAATTTATTATATATATAAATATTTTTTCTATTTTTTATTTATATTTATTTTATGAAAAAAAAAAAAGATAAATGCTGTATTGAAATATTTAATTTTTTTATTATTTTTGTACATTTAATTCAAATTGTAATAATTATATGCACAATATTGCATATTGACACAAAATAAGTATTCACATGAAAAGCGCATGCACACGTATTTCTTAGTACCCAAAATTTCAGTCTTGCAGAAAACATTAATGATATTCATTTTATAATACACGTTGAAAGAAAATTATTCTTTATAACTTACAATAATATGAGCATTTCTATCTTTCCAATTCAAGAATCAGCTCTCCACAATTATAATTATGTTTTTGATTGATATTAAATTAAATAATTAGATTAGCTTAGATTGCTATAGTGGATATATCATTCATTTGATATTTGATTTTCATTCATACGTGTTTATAATAAACATGTTCAATATTCTAACATTATGTCACAGAGATATTAATATGTTCGTGAAATATCTTTGGATCGATTCTACAGGCTAAAACAAACATAAAATTATCAAAATAATATATAATAGTTTACAAAAATATTCAAATTTATTTATTATATTATAAGCAATTTAAATTTCCATTAGATGAAACATTTCTCTGTTATATTACCGATTCCAGCTGTTTCTGTTTTATTTTATCATAGTGTAAATTTAAATTGTTTACAATTTAATAAATAAATCTTAAGTGATACTCTTGTATACTACTTTTATTGTATTTATTTCAATATTATTTCACTTTTATGTTTTTTAGCTTTTAGAATTGATCGTTGAAAAATGTTTCTCAAATATGTTAATACTTTGTATATTTTGTGATTAATAATTTTATTTTTGCGATGATATTATAAAATAGATATTCGTACTAATTTTGATTTTATAAAACGAAAAGAAAGTTTTATTAATATATTTAAAAAGATAATACCAACAATTAATGTATTAACTCTCGTTTTTAAAGAACAATTATTCTTGACTATTAAAAACATTGATACAACATATTTTTTTATTATTTTATGGTATTTATATTTTAATAGACAAGAAAAAATTCTTCTCTATTACTTTGGTCGTGATATTAAGTAAGTACATACAAAATAATATTCATTATTAAATACTATATTCATAATATAAAATGCTAATGAATAAAATTATTATTAATTTTTTCAACATATAATCTAATCTATGTACAAAATGAAGCAGCGTGTCTTTACTTTACAAATACATAATAACTAACACGTAGTGTGATAACTACTCTTTACGATAATATAGTTAAGTTTTATTCGCTAATAAAACGATTTACTTCTACTCCCGCGCTTTGTCCTTTTATTTTTATTTTTATTTTTAAAGCGAGGTAGAAAAAAAGAGATATTGTATAGATTTCTTGGTTTTTGTTGAACTCTCTTTTCTCTGTAATGACAATGCGTGGAAGGGAAGAAAGCCGTGTAAGGAGATGCCAGTCATTGGACAACACTGCTTTACAATATTTTTACAAAGCTCCGGTATTTTTCACGATAAGTCGTAATATCATTATATTATATTAATATTTAACAATATTTGTATCATGATTGCCTGAAATCTAACGAATAAAACAATAATAATGAATATCATTATGCTTTAGAGATCTCGATGTTTAACGTAATATACATTTTCAATGTTTTAAATTTACTGCTTATAAATAAAAGCTTTAAGTAGGATCAATTAGGCACTAAAATGGACGGGTCTCGTTTCTCAGGAGTTCCATTCGAGTATTGCTCATAAGTTAAGGACACTTAATGAAATTTTAAGTACACTTTGTACAGCTAATTGATTTGTTCAAATTAACTGTTCGACTAATATATAAATTTCATAATACATTTTTCATTTTAGTGTAATTTTTAGAAATAAATTTTCTTAACGATTAATTTTTCTAACAATTTTAATAATATATATATTTTATTTTGGTTTTGATGTTATAGTCAATTTTATAGGCAGTTTTAATACGTTTCATCTTTAGCGTCGCTTTCGGATTGATTTCAAAATCAGTTATCATGCCTTAAATTGCTCTCACATTGAACTCCTTATGTAAATTTGATAGTTGATAAAATAGCATGGACTAGAAAACGCGCGATGAAACCTCTTATATTTTCACTGACCGTTCGAAAACAGTTTTGTCGAAAGATCGATTCCTTCGATTCATCTCTTTAATATCGATCAAAACTGTGACAACGATGTATCGATAGACTAGGATTTTTCGAAATATTCACATATTGTGTTCCTTCGTTGCAAAAAAATATTCTTAAATTAATCTCTCTTCTGGCGGTGGTTTCATTACATTATCCATTTCTACACGCGGATTGCTAAATTCTTGAGCACTTGGACTATACGTTCCTCGAGTAGCTCGTTTTTTCCTAGCCATCATAAATAATGCAACTAAGGAACCAGCTGCAATAATAAACAGACATCCAACGATAGGACCAACAATTACCGCTATATCGAGTGCTTGACTACCCAAAAAGTTTTCCGTCTGGAAAATGGAAAACAAAATTTATCATTATGATGATATAATATAAATTTATATATTATTGATTATAAACGAAATTTCAGAATTTAGAATATTAAAACATGCCTCTGTACAATTTTGTCCGGTATAATGTGGCGTGCACTCACACCTATAACCACCATTATCTCCGCATTTACATGTACCTCCATTTTGACAATAATCCTGTTAACAAGATAAATTACATAAAATATGAAAAACTATATGGAATAGGAAGGATTTGACAGAAAAAAATAATACCGGTTTGCAAGGATCTATCATTCCACAATTATATCCACAGTAACCCGGATCACAAATACATTGATAAGTTCCTGGTAAATTTTTGCATCGTCCTTGACCACAATCTGTCATTGGAATTCCACATTCATCTATATCAAATAAACAATCGGGCCCTGTGTAACCGGTATCATTACAATCACAAGTGAAACTGTTTACACCATCATAGCATTTTCCATCGTTTTTACATGGTACATTTCCTTCTGCATCTGGTGCGCAATCATCGATATTAATTTCACAATATAATCCAGAATAGCCGGGTAAACAGGTGCATCGAGGTGTCTAATAATTTAAAATAATAGATATTACGATTCACAAATAATGTTTACGCATTAAATTTTTAAAGTTATAAAAAAAAAAATAGACAATAATTTCTTTAACGATAAAGAATATTTCATTTTTTGTTTTTTTCATTTCAAATTCTATTAATGTCAATATAATAACAAAATATGCAGGTAATCGTTACTTACAAACATCGATATAATGTAATTTACAAATAAAGTGATATTTGGAAAATATTTGAAAAAACAAATAAATGTAAATGTAGTTATATGTGCAAAAAAAAAAAAAAAAAAAAAAAAAGAAAGAAACAAAATAAGGACTAGATATACCTGATATAAGAAATCACATTTGCCGCCATTTTGACATTTTTGTCCAATGCAATAAGGAACATCACAAATTGAACCTTCGTAACCAGTAGTACAAGTACAAGTAAAATTATCACCAGTTTGTGGATTTATAATATCTGTGCAACTGCCACCATTTTTGCAAGGTTGATTTTCACAAGTAATTAAACGGAAAATCTCACATCGTTCACCGGTAAATTGATCTGGACATTCACAACGGAAATACCCGGGAAGATTTACACATACTCCGTCATGTTGACAAGGACTAACAGTTACACACTCGTTTATATCGCTATCGCATCTAAAATAAAAAATAAAAAAAATTTGATATAAAAGGAATCATTATATAATATTTATCATTTAATAATATTTTTTTTTATATACTGACAACCATCCTTGCCAACCGTTGTTACATATGCACGTGTAATTAGCAATTCCATCGATACATGTTGCTCCGTTCTCGCATTTATTATTAATGCATTCATCTATGTTGAAAGAACAATCGTCCTCTGTATATCCTGCAGGACATTCACAAATGTAACTATTTGCTTTGTCCAGACAAAACCCATTATTTTTACAATCTGAATCGAAGCAAAGCTGGCATCCAATACTATCGTGATACGTTGAATTATTTTCTTGTAACGCTAAATATTCTAATGGCGTAAAATTAGCGTTCTGATATACTTCTTCATACGTGAAATAATGTAAAAGCATACTACCAATTCTTACTTCGCCTAAACATCCTTTGAAAGCTTCCCCTGTAAAATATTTTTAACTTTTGATTATTTATTTTCTAATTAGATAAAAGATAAATGAATTTTTCTCTAATATATATCTACAAAGTTATTTCAATTATTTATCCGCAAAGATATCGATCATTTACGTTACCTGACATTATATTATAAGGGGGAGAAGCGGTAGTCAACGTGGT